AGTACTATGTTTTATGAAGACTTGAACAATTGTTGCTATAAAAAATCTGACTACGATCGATTCAACATCAGCCCCGAATAATATTGGTTGTTACCGTTTTTCTGTCAGCTCTAAATTTATTGATTTCTATTTTCATTAAAAAAAAAAATGCTTCTCTTTTATAGGATTTTATAGCTTAGTACGTGTTGAGCCATAAGCCCAATTTCAATGTAACCAACAAAAAGAAAATTATACAGGAGAAAGATTTTTAAATCGCACAGTACGAAAAAATTTTAACACTTAAAATGGTAAAAAATCGCATAAAACAGGCTTCCCTATGCAGATTCTAATTTGGTAATAAAATTTCCGTTCCCGGAGAAACGAATGGTTTAATGTCCCAAACTCACAGAACTTGTTAGTTTGACTGAAAAGAAAGAGAAAATTGAGCTATATTTGGATATGGACATTCACGATTAGCCTTTATCTGCCATAGATTTACATACAGTGACTCAAACAAGTTTTCAAGTTAAATTTTTATTTGTTATTTTTCTATAAAAATATTGTCCAAGCTTTAACCAAAACCTTATAATTAAAAATTTCAAACTTCATACAAAATTTAGGAAAATTCTACAAATTTTCACAAAACTTGGCTCATCACTGTTGTGATTTTTAGTAAGCCGCAAAATGTGCTACAAAAAATCGATTTTAGGGGTAGAAAAATACGCAGACTTAAAAATTTGTGTTGTAGCGGCATATTTGTTGCAGCAGCAAACTTTGAGGCGTAGTAGAAATCACAATAGTGAAAAAAGTGCAAAAACCCTTCTAGCAAAAAAAAAAGTAAAAATAAAAATCGACGCGATTTTTCAGCCGCTTGAAACTTGCACTTCGTTAGACGTAGAATATCTTAGGATTCAGATTTAAAAGTTCAAAGTTAGTTGAATTTTCCTAAATTTAGTACAAAAGGGTGAAGCTTTGATTTATTGTTATTTCGTTTTGTTTAAAGGTTGAACAATATTTTTATAAAAGAAAATTTGGAAAATTAACTTGAAAAACATTTTGAGAACTAAAAAAAATCAACACGTGGTCACCCTAATGTAATGTAACCCTAATTATAACAATCAAACATGGTTATCACAAAATACAAACAATAAAATAATGTACATAGAGACTGAAATGACCAACCATGTATGATCAAGTAAAAATTAGAATGTGTCAATTTTTTTGTCAGAATTTTATATACATGTGCGAGAAAATATCTAACGCCGTCAGCAAAAAATATAACACAAAATCAACGAGTTTCAAGGCATTTTAAATTTAAAAATTTTTATACTGAGATTTTTTTTAGAAATTCCTATTAAAAAATTTGCGAAATCCTCTAAAGTCGTAAAATAGTTGAAACTTGCATTTATAGGGTTTTGTTAAAATATAAGCCATAAAACGTAAATATTTAAAAAAAAATTACCGTAAATTTTGTGAGTGACTGTATGTAGACTTGAATTGCTTTATGTAAAGAAAAAAACTATTTTCTTATAAATATGCTATTATGTACATATGTATGTATAAACAAATTTGTCCAGATCCGATACGAGAAATAATATACATTTTTTAAAATCCTTTATATAAAACACTGCATTCTTAACACATATATTTTTTTTGTGCCTTTGAGTTCATAACGCATAAAGTGTTTTGTGTTTTGAATGCATAATAGTGAAAAAGGACACTGTTTATTTTGAATTTTCGCGAAAATTCTGCAATGTGTTATGTATCTCTGCTATGTTTGACCGCGCTTACAGCAGAAAATGCCCCGTACTGCTTATTTTAACGAAAATCTTGAGTATCATGATCGCCCAAAATGGTTTTTGATTTTTTTTTATTAAAAATCCGGAACCGTAATGCGAATGCAATCATGGGGTAGTATCAAAAGCTATGTCGTTACGACATTGGAAAATGAGAGTTGCATTCGAGCTTAAACAAATACGAAAATTTGGGCGACTCAGCCTACAGCACGGGTTCGAGGAACCCGCGCAAATCAAATGCAATACAAATGTTTTTACTACACGGAAGTGTATCCTTGAGAAAGGACCAGAAAATGTGTAATGTGTTCATTAACTGGTGACTTACGCAAGAAGCGCAAGTATGCAAAGTCGAGTCGTCGTAATGTGCGAAATGCCTGATACGGCTTTCCCACGGCACACCGTGTGCTTTTTGAACACTCCATGCGAATTAATCGCATCGCTTTCGACCGAAGCAATGTTTTGATAAAAAACCAAATAGTTTTGAAAGCTAATGGTTATTCCCTTTCACGGAAAAATACTGCTATTGACCCATAACTACTCCTTGACCTTAAAAAAATTGGTAAAATTGTGTTCTTTGAAAAAAACATGCAAAATCCACCGGTTTTGTTCCAAAAAAAATTTTTGATGTTTTATTACACTAATATTATAGATTTTGAGGCGAGAAACACGATTCCACTGTTTAGAAATCGAAAAAAATTGTAACACCTTAATTAAAGAAATGCATTTTTGATTGCATTTTTTCTAATTTGCATGCAGCTGTGCATCCTTCTCACAATTTTATATCACTCGGATAACAAGTAAGCTGTAGTGCTATTCAAGATCTTTAATTTGAGCCAAGGTAGAAGTCTCTAGGTACGAAAAGTTATGTTTATTAATATGTATATCCCTAATTTAATGCGGAAACTTATAAATTTTAAGAAAATACCTACATTTTGCAGCGAAGAAAAACAAAAACAAAACACACGAGACAGAGAACTGTCAAATCGAATTAAGAATGTGCCCGTGGGAATGGGGTAATTTGCGATCGTAATTGGGAGAGCGAACAAAGTAATTCAGGATGCCGTGGGAAAATGGTACAATTCTCTAATCGTTCTCGAGTCGTTGGCGAAGTTAGACAACTACATTAGAATTCGATTCGAGGACGATTAGAGAAACAACGCAAATTCAAATAAATGTATATAAACGATATTAAGTTCAAATAATTCATTATTATTTTATTGCAAATACATTTAATACAAATTTTACAAACAAAGCGTTTTATTGAATAAAGCAGAACAGCAGTTTTAAATTCACATTCGAATCCCATTAGAGATCAACATTGGAATTCGATTAGAAAATTAATCAGCCCTATCGCTAATGCCGTGTGAATAAACTGTTCCCATAATTTAACACGCAAAACAAAAACAAATTGGGAAAAATCGTTTTTGCTTTACTTTATATTTTTTGGCAATATTTGTCCACGTGAAACGTGAACGTTTCAGATTAGAGAATGTTGCTAGTTCTCCAATTCATTCTCTAATCGATACCTAACCTCAATGTTTGCTGTGAAGAATGTGCCCGTGGGAATAGGGCAATTCGCGATCGTAATTGGGGGAGCGGACAAAGTAGTTCAGTAGTTTTTCAGTTTTTCTCCACAAATTAAGTGAAACAAATTGGCTTTATCGCGATAATTTTTTTGATCCGTAACTGATTGCAACTTTCAAAATATTGTCTATTAACTTTTTCAACGCCAATCTTGCACTGAATACTCGAATTTCGATATTATATTCGAACAAACGTAAATGGTCTCATTCGAATTTTATTAACGGCTTTTAAATTTTGAATTCTTCCCATACGTTAATAACCCTTAGGCCTTAGAGAATGGACTGTATTTTACTTGAAAAGTCTTAAAAATAAATACCCTTGACTGGCAAGCAATATCACCCAACAAAAAAAAAAGTTGTTTCTAATAGCTCTCGCCATGAAAAACCATTTCTCATAGAAATACAGTCGCCGTTCGGAGTCGGCGTAAAACTAGATGCCCCTCCTCTTTGTGTCACAACATCAAGGCGGACGCCACAAATCGGAGAAGAAGCTCGGCTAAACATTAACTATGGGTAAGCGCCAATCTATTATTATTATTATTAATATGGTTGAATCTACAACAAACACCCCAAAAATCGACATGACACCACGGAAAGCCTGAAATTTTGCACAAAACTGCACTTTATCCTCTTTTTCTGATGACCTGTAAAATATTTCTGTGCTATTTATACTTTTTATTTACCAATGTTGATAATAATTTTAGTTAATTTTCGCACTTTCATCACATCATAAATATGCTGTCATGCTGTAGTAAGCAGAACACGAAATTCCTCGAAAGCTATCCGGTACTCATAAGTTTTCTCGTTATAGTACACAACTAGTAGAGTCGAGAATATTTCATTCCCGGTGCATATTTTACTACAAACTAAACCATTGGAACTACGGCATTTCCATCAATTATAGTTTAGAAATAAGAGACTGATGCCTTGGTTTGGTGAATTTCTGAAACACCGTGTCTGCAGAACGTATACCTTGGAGTTATTTCACAGTTAGGGCGCGCAAATACACTAATTGGAGACGCCACCCAAACACACTTGATATACCAAACAAATCTTTACCCGCTGTACACGAAAATGAAAGAAGCAGAAAATGAAAGCCTGACAATAATCTTAGTCCCTTTAGTATAATCTATTATGATTTGGTAAAATAAATGTGGCATTGTTTTTTTCGCATGAAAGCCCATGAACGAAAATGATCTTAAACGCTTATATTATTAGCAAAATTCACCTCATTTTATTTTGTAACCGACAATATTGCTAACTGAATACGAAGAAAGCATAACAATGCAGCAATTATGTATTAAAAGTAAAACATAACGATATGCCTGAAGCAACGCTCATTCATTTTACCTATGTATGTTTGCTTACCGCCTCATCTTGTGTTTGGTTGAAAAGTATTTCATTTAATTACGATATTTGATAATAAGTATGTATGCATGTATTTAAATATATATGTAGTATATATACTAATATATGTATGTATATATTTATATATTCAATTAAAATTTAAACTTTAAAATTTATAGTAAATCATAATCATTAAAGAAATTGTTTTACAATTAACAGTCAGTGTTGGTTTTGTGTTTAATCCTCTTTACGTTACGTTACGTTTACTTTAACTTTGCATCAAGTGGTTGCTTGCTTTTTAATTTAGTTTTACGTTAAAATTTTATGCTAGCGTACATTAAATTTAGACTTGTTTCATTTGTAATTGTAATTTAGCATTCGTTCTATCAAATATGTAATCTTATTTTGTTTTGTTATATTATCATTATATTACGATTAATTTTACATAGATTTAAATGTATGTGGTAGATAATAAATTGAATTCTTTTTTGTATTCTCCATTTAAATGTAATTTAGTTATGTATGTATGCTTTTAAAGTATGTGTGTGTTTACAGTAATTTATTGTTATTGTATGGTATTTATATTAAATTTAATAATTACGTCAGGTTTCTTGTTATAATATTCTATTAGCATTTATTTTTTGTTTTTTTTCGACCTTTTTCTTATTTCTGAGGCTCGCATCGGTGATATTTGCGAACACTGGCTACCACCATTTTGCTTCCCGTTTATAAAATATTAGAATCTGTATTTTTTAGCTTAAATCTTTTAACATCTATTTTTGTCGTAAGCATACTATTAATGCATGTGAACTGGGTTCCACAGATAACAAAAAAGGCATTTTTTCGGTGCTCACAAAAAGGAGATAAACTCAAAGTATGTTCATATCGGACACGGTATACATATGTACATATGTATTTTTTAGACGTATCATGTATAAAACTGGTTAATTTCAGCGATGGAGAGTGCGAAGTTACTGAGGCTATGGCGATTATTAACAATTTAAACCGATTCATTCTTCCACACAGTCGTATTTCTCGCATGGACCATGGAGTCCACCCTCAAAGCCAAATTTGCAGTTCTTTGAATGTGATCACTACTATCTCTGTTCATTTGAATTTTTCGCAGTCACCGTCCTGTAGTAAGTTGTAGTTGTAATTATCGTAGTAATAGCTATAAACTATATATAGGCTACATCATTTACTTGATGACATATACTATTTCTAAATTAAAACATTCCGTTTATTTACTCTTATCAACTTCAAATGTAATTTTTTGTTCATTTTCTCTTTTTTTGTCCTTTTGGTTGTTTAAATTTTGATAAATTATTGTATGTAAACTATATCTGTAGGTAAATATATATGTATCTATATATATTGGCTTATTAATTCACTATTACTACACATAATTCTTGTTGTCTCTTCATAGGGTTATAAAGTGAATTTATGTGTTTTTACATCTTGTTTTTCACCTATTCAAAATTTTTCTCATTTACATTCATCAAAATTAAGATAGCAATGCGTATATGTATTATTAAAATATTTTTATGTAATTTACTATTATTTTTATTATAATTTTAGTTGTAACTAAAGTTCAAACCATAAATGTAATCATAAGTTATGTATGTATGTATGTTGGTATACAATGTATGCACAAAATAAAAATTTTAAATGAATTTTAACAATACTATTACCTTGAGATTATGAAAAAAGAAATCAACTGGAACTGCCAGCTAGGTTAGACTGTAGTGTCTTAAATGCGGCAAACGCGCAGATGTGCAACGAATTTATATAGATCAACAAACTTCCTAACATAGAGAACTAAAAGTAATTATTACTGGGGAGTGAGATAAAACAACTCCTTAAACACTAATAGCTTATTCAAATGATTAGGTACAACTTATAACACGTTAAGTATAAATGTATTCCCGAAAAATATGCATCTAAATTATTGTATTGTGCCTAAAAGCGAGTTATTTTTGGGCATTCATTCATTAACTCATGCAAAAATAAATAACTCATAATTAATTCAAAATAATGTCGCTACCACATAAGCCCATTTCTCTACAGTCACGCATGTCCGTATTGCTGTGCCAGTTGATTCATTCTATCAAATTTATTCTAGATTAATGCGAACAGTTTACGGTTTGTTCTCTAAATTTCCTTTTTTTTCAAAATATGAATTTACTTTTTGCTTGTGATTTTTTAAGCTAGTATTTAAGTTAAGTTTGTGTCTGTGTATAATGGATGGTAGCAGTGTTTTATGTATGTATGTTGAGTGCCTAATGCTTCTCGCTTTTTTATGCCTTCACATATTTGTATGTTCTTTGTCCTTTTTCCTCAATATAAGTAATGTATGTATATAAACATTATATTTAGTATTTGTTTATGTAGTATATATATATAGTTAGTAATTAATTTCAACAACTGAACTGAATGAATAGACGCTAAGCTTAAACATTAATCTTACTTCACACCACGCAATGAGCGAAATACAACGTTCACTTGTTCGGTAAGGACGCTGGTGTTCGGACGCGTTATGTGTGTGTCGACTAATGCGCCTTAAACTGCCTGCGAGGCAGCGTATGGTGGCTGTGTAGCACTATCATTTCCATACGCTGACCGCGGTCCGGCGCCATAATTCGAGGCACCGCCGTCTTGTTTTCCATAGTTGCTATAGTCATAGTCATAACCAGAGCCATAACCGCCGTAGTCATATTCTGAACCCGATTTTGATGCCGAGTTACCCGGACCAGTCCGTGGCATGCCGCCTACAGGGCCGGTAGTTGAGGGGCCTCCGGCTCCCCATGTTTGAGCGCGCGAATACATATCAGTAGCGCTTCCGGCAGCAGCTCCTGGTGCTCCTGTCGGACCAGCCGAATTCGGGGGTATGTTCCATGAATTCCAGCTGCCACCGCCTGAAGGACCAGATGGTCCACCAGTTGATGTCGAATTATACATATCGTAGCCGCCATAACCTTGGGTTTGTTGAGGACCAGCAGCATAATTAGACCATTGTGGAGGTGGTCCTTGGGGGCCAGGTGGAGCACCCCAGCCCTGGTAAGAACCAGGGCCACTATTACCGTACCCGTAGCCTTGCTGCTGAGGTGAAGTTCCCCAGCCCTGGTAGCCAGGCATCATATTAGGGGCACCAATTGGCATATTAAGTGGTGGACCTCCCATTTGGCCGTTCTGACCCTGCATCATATTGATTGGTGCATGATGGGGTCCCCAGTGGTTGCACTCGTTGCCAAGCTTGCCATAACCGCCGCTAACGTTGCTATTGTTAGCGCTTTGGCCGCCAGATCCATCTCGAGGTTCCGCCTTTTTAATTTCCACCTAAGAAAAAATAAATATTTATAAGTCATTTTGAAATACTGAATCCACACCTCCTACTTATTGTGTAGCAACTTAAAGTTAAGCTTAAAATTTAGAAAGAAATAAAGAAATAAATAGTAAAAAGTAAGTTAATCAAATAAAACGGCCTAAAACGGCTAAAATCATTTTAAAAATTATAAATTATATTAAGTACATTTTTTGAATCTACATCAATCTCAGTTGAACCACTTGATATTTTGTGGACAAGCAAGTCCTGTCTTTCATTTATGATTTATTTTTTGAAAACTCACCTGTTTACCATTAAGATTGATGTAGCGTTCATTAGTGACATGCTCCACCGACGACTCCTCCTCAAACGACAAAAAACCGAAGCCACGAGATTTTTTCTTCTCTTGATCATACATAATGACTACTTCAGTTACTTTGCCATAGCGTCCAAAGAAAGTACGCAAATCCGTCTCAGTAACATTGGATGGTAAACCGCCAAGGAAAACTTTGTAACCGCCTCCTTTCTTAGGCTTTTGCAACGTACGAGGATTGCATGGTTTTGGATCAATCGTGCGTCCGTCAAGTGTATGCGGTCCACTCTGTAGCACATGGCTCACATTTGCCGGATCCGCAAATGTTACAAAGCCAAAACCACGAGAACGACCACTCTCGTTGTTCTTCATTACCACACAATCAATGATCTCTCCAAAACGGCAGAAATAACGTGACAGGTTTTCCTGTGTCGTCTCCCATGAGAGACCGCCAACAAACAGTTTTCCCCTCTCATCTTCCTCCATGATCTTCTGCGGACTCTTTTTTTTTTAATAAAAGCAACAAATCAACGATAATGTCAATAATACAAAAAAAAAATAGCACTTACGGTTGCTGTTGTTGAAATCGTTTTTAAGCCGTTACTTTTTTTGCGTCTGCAAAGTTCTTGTTACTATCGCTGTTTTTTATGTCGCCGCTTATGGTATTTTTAACACTTTTGTTTCTCTTGTGTAGGTTGGCTAGTTGATTTTGTAGTTTTTTAGCATTAAGGTTTTTTAAGCAAATTATAGCTAGCTTAAAGTGAAGAAACTCGGACTTCTTAAGGGGTTTGCAATTGCTATGTCCACACTTTGGATTTTTAGCTTAGAAAACCAAAGCCACGACGCCAACACGTAACTTTCTGTTATATTTTTTAAAAGCGCAGACGATGAATTGTTAACATGAAAATATAAGGAAATAGTTTTTATGTATAACATTTTTGCACCTATAAACTTAATATTTATTTCAAAATTTTCTTTTGTCTATTTAAAAATATTATAATTATTTACTTCTAGTTTTACTCACTAAAACAACAGCGAAGGGTGTATAATAAAAAAAAAATTAGAATTCAAACGGGGAATTCTCTAGTATAGGGTAACAACCCCTAAAAAAACTCGGGTGGGGTACCAAACGACGCGTTTCGGTCCCCCTATTAACAATCTGAAGGGGGAGGGCTAATATTATTAACCATGTAAAAGTTATAATCAAAAAACTTTGTTAAATTTCGTTGTTTTCTATGAGCAATTACCACGTCAAAAATGCACTAAATCATCAGTTTCCACTTTTAGAACACTATTGAAACGTCTCCGGTTATTGTTTTATGCAAACAAAATCATTTATTCACTTTTATTTTATATATTTCGTTAATAAAACAGAGTAAACAAACTTTGCGCCTGCCAAAATTATTATAACCTCAAATCGCTGGTATTGCCACTTTATTTCACATTTCATTTGCACTATTACACTCAGTTTACACTATACACTTCTTCTTTTTTTACTTTCACCTAAATAAATTATTCTAACCAAAATATAATAGCAAATCTCGCTATACCATGGCAGCGCTACTTTTATGGTTTACAGTTATTTATCGAAGTATTTATTTTTATGGGAAGAGCGCCGCAGGCGAAAATTTTTAATAAAAAATCGCAAGATTTTTTATCAAAAATTTTCATTATTTATCAAAGTATTGATTTTTGCGGGAAAAGCGCCGCAGGCGAAAATTTTTAACAAAAAATCGCGCGATTTTTTATTAAAAATTTTCATTATTTATCGAAGTATTGATTTTTATGGAAAAAGCGCCCCAGTCGAAAATTTGTAATAAAAAATCGCGCGACTATTTATCGATTTATATATTAAATTAAAGAAGATACCGAAAAGCATTGAACACTGCACACACCTTGTAAGGAAAAGTGAATTATTACGAAATACTAATACAGTGGCAGCACTATAGCTATTTTGGAATCTCGCGTTTCAGTTCGCAAAGATTGTCAACTTCCTTTTAATAACAAAATAATCTATCCTAGGTTGATAAAAATATGTGTTTGTTTAATAATTAAGTTAAATTATATATTTTAATAGTGTTTAAAAAGTGAGAACAGGTGATTTAGTGAATTTTTGTTGGGGTAATTGCCCCTACAAAACAACGAAATTTAACAAACGTTTTTTTTTATTATAACTTTTAAATGGTTAATAATATTAGCTCTCCCCTCATAATTGTTAATAGGACCTTTTTTAGGGGTTGTTACCCTATACTAGAGAATTACCTTCAAACGCTTGAACTATGCACTATACGTGTATACATTATTGAAAATAATCCAAAAACTTGGTTCTATCCCAATCTTCCGCAACAAAACAAAAAATGTTAAATCTTAAAAGCAACAAAAGATTTTTAATTTGGCAATACCAGGTACGCGAATAAATAAACGTACCTGCTCCCAAATATTCACCTCAACTATGGTTATTCACCATAAGCGGCATTTCTATCCAAAAACAAAATGGAAGTCGCGTGAATGCTTTATTAAAAAATGCCTTTCATGCCGCAGAAAGTTTGCATAACCACAATAAAATTTCAGGTCCATAACAAAAAATTCACATTGAATGAATGGGTTATTGTTAAATACAAACCTCGCCAAATCCTATATCGCCACATTTACAAGTTATAACCTAAAAATTAAATCGACATTTAGCTTTGTCACAAAATGGGGCAAACACATACATACTTGCCCATGTATAAATTACACAAACGCGTGTATACATACGCAAAGTACAATGAATGAAATGCCTATGAAAACCCTTGAAAGATTCGACATTACACCGGTCGGCCCACATGTCCACTTCAACTTCTTTCTATTCCGATATTTAAAATACCAATATATTTTAGCTACACATTTTTATTTGCTTTTCTCTTATATATATTGCGTGCACATATGTATATACAATTATTGTATATACATATGTACATACATGTGTAAATGGCCGACTCGGACTACGATTTGTGCCATGTATACACGGTATACATATTTGTAAATGAGGATGTGTGAATCGTGTGGATGTACATAGTATTTTTATGTATAGAATAAAATGAGGAATTTTTCACTTTCCACAAAAGTCTCTAGCCCCAAGTACTATGCGAAAAGACAATTTTTGCATTCTGCCTGATATTCAAGGATGTAGGTATATTAAGCCAAAGCGGACTTATTGTTACACTTTTTAGACTACAGAAATTATATATCGTTTTTGTGGCGTTCATATTGGTCAGCGCCATGGTAGTTCCTGCATACGTCACTCCAAGCACTTTTACAGAACACTGTTTTGCCTAAACCAAAATCGAAAAATTGGCTCAGAGGGTCGTCCGCCAGCTACCTACCAGCTTGCTACTTTTCACAAAATTCCGACACCCGAGAGCGTTACATAAAGTCCTTAAATCATTAAAATTTTATTCTCACCGTTTCCGCCAAGTGTTCGTCTGCGAGAATCTCAATATATCCGCACTGCAAATTCACTAAATTTAAGTTTTTTCCTTAAAAAACTAGCTTATAATTAATTGTATGATTTGATGCATACGATTATAACCTAACTTAAAAAAATGATTTCGACAAACTGAAACGCTGCATGCAGGAGGTGAGTTTTTCCTGTACTGAACTGTGGTGAAACAGTCTTCGTCGCAGAGTACAATGACTGCTTGTCCAGTATTTACCTATATATCCATCCCTTTTTTTCGCATGCGTTGAATAGATCGGCAGTATTCTGCCACGTTTTATTATTGAAAATTTTCCCTCCACAAATCGGTTCAATATTCCTTGGTTCCAGCGCAAGTGTCAAGCATTAACCCTCTTGGAGACCCAACCATTTTGAAGTAGAATTCTCATAAAGCTGAAATTAGTCGAAAACGCAGAACATATACTTAAACGCAGTCTGTATACGCAGAATTTTGTCGATTACTGGAGCCCTCAGTGTTGCTTATTACACTGTTGCCACTCATCAATGCCTTTTCATAAACTTACCCTTTCAACTACAATTTTTCGAATTATAATAGATTTTAGCTAAATATAAACTACTTAGTATTCAACAAAAACCTTATTCAATAGTAAATTTCAAATATTTTAAACATATTTTGAATAGGAACTTATNCACGGAAAAATCTAAATTCCGCAGATTTCTGCGCTACGGGCTACAACTACAGAAAAATTCTGCGGTGTTGAGTTTTCATTTACATGGCGCTTTGGTAAGACAGATCGTGTCAGCTGACTCGGGTTTACGTACCGGTAGGTTTACGTTCTTGACTAATTTCAGCTTAAGCCATTTCTCATTTCGTTAACTTTGAAGTTATACGATGTTCCATGCGGGGATTTTTAGGCAATTTTAGAGGCGATTAGCTGGATCAAAAGTTGGCTGCACCCCAACTTCATTGGAAGCGATTTGTTGAAAGGCCGTTCACACCCCGCGATTTTTGCTTTCAACTAAAAGTTGCCTGTAAAATTTCGTCATGCGAGCACCGTATGGGCTCGTCACACGGTCAGTAATTATAACGATATTTGGACCGCGATCCATATTGATGGAATTTTCGACTTTTCATGCAGAAACATACAATTTAATTGAGTTGCAGATATTATTAAAACTGAATATATAAAATATTCTTGACGGTCATCGTGGTATACCTTTTACATCTTGCGCTTTGCTGGCAAAGTTATAAATGTCACGCAAGGCCACAAAGTTTTATCCGGCATCAACTTTAAGAACTTGATTTCAAGTTGGTCACATTTACTGATTGTCAAAACTCATTTGAAGTGACTGCTGTGACGCAGGCTGCACGTAACTTGGAGGTTACACGTATCAAGAACTTGAAAGCAAGTTGCAATACGCTCACACTTTTTACTAACACAATCGTACTTTTACAACTAGAACGTCGACTTGATATCGATTTTTCCTTACAAGTCGTAAGGCAACTTGAAAGCCAAGTCAAACAGCAGATAACAGATGGCATTCAGTAAGCGGTCTCTAGTCACTAATAGTGACTGTTGGTGGTGAACTTGCATTTTGAGCCAATTTACACTACGACTTTTCACCCTGCGTTTTTGACACGTTCCCTTTTAAAAAAGTCTTCGAAAATCCTCGTGCATTTAAACGATGACTTTTTCTTTGCGGCGTTTCTTGCGTATTTTTGACATTTAAGCGTAAAATTTTCTTTCGTCAACTCTTTCGTCCTAATTTTTAAAGCGGAGCGAATCGCGAACGCAAAGCAAAAATACGAAAAAGTGAACTCGATAAAAGCGAAACGTCAAAAAAAACCTCTCGATTTCGCTCACCGTGTGTGCTTGCCTACCACGCTGACTTCGCTACACTTCTTGCCTACAAGCTCGACACGCATGACTTTCCACCCAGGGTGAAAAGTCATCGTGTAAATTGGCTCTTTGAGACTATTTGGTATTCAATACGCTGTCTCACGTCTCTAGTTAAAAAAAAGTAACTAATTTGTCAGCTGGCTAAGAGCCGGTCACAAAAATAGAAGTATGGAGGAAAAACTTATTTCTTTCCATTTTGTTAAAAAAAAAACGCGAAAATGAAGCGAGGAAATTTGTTCAGCAAGAATTTCATTAGGAAATAAACCAAAATGCTTTAATATCATACAAACGCTAATTAACCTTAATTTATTTGTTCATAAGTTGTACAAATTAAGACTGTTTTAACATTTGTGTAGCACTAGGTAGTGCATTCCACAGCACCACTGCACTAACAAAGAAAATGCGGGATGAGACCTTTGACTTGTGTAAATGAATAATAAGGTTGCAGGTACGAGAAGATACGGCAAATTTTAACTTCGTAAATAGATACATCGGAGTACGGGAGTTGCCTGTGTTTACTTTCACCACACATTTTTGGTGCACTTTTTGCGACTCTCTTTCTGATTACTCAAATCGTCTCAAGTCACAATAATAGTCACTAATTGATAATCTCAAATTTAGTGACTTGAGATGAGACTGAATTACTGAATTCCAGGGTTAATCTGTTCCCGTACTTAGGAATTTAGTTAATAATAGCCAGGGAGATATTACTGCAGGTATTATAAATATGTGTACGGGAACAAGGCGAGAATTTTAAGTTGCCTTCACGACGGCATCTTGAAAGTAAAATTTACTATCCAGTTGCGTGCAGTCTGCGTCGCAGCTGCCCAGTTCTTCATCGTGTAACCGCACTCTATTTTGATAGTCAGTTTTACTTGAACGTCGACTTGATATAAATTTTTCCTTTCAAGTCGTGAGGTGACTTGAAAGTCAAGTCAAACAGATGGGGCTGGGGCTCTATTCTGTAACTGTGAGAAAATGTAGTGTACACCGAGTGCAAAACTACTACAAAAGAATAACGTGTACATTGTAATTCTTAACCAAATTTTCGTGATTTGCTTTTGAAGTTACATATATTCGTTTCAATCATTTCAAATGGAGCTCTTTGGAGAATTTATTTCTATTAAAAATCTTAAAAATAGTGATTTTGTTTACTTGTCGGGCTGTATTTTTTCATACGGATATACACTGGATCCTTGGCTAAAAACTTCTGTGGTAAAACAACTGTCCCCCTACGTCTCCCTTCTGTGCTATCTAAAGTCAAAGAGTAAGTTCCTTCAAAAGGGATTTCCAGCAGAAATGATCAATGTCTGGCTATTAAGAGAATCGATGCTCAAATAATTAAAAAGTTATAGGTCTGACCTTTAATTAGATAAGAATTACGTAACTATCTGAGACCCTCGTCATCCGTGATTCCAACAATTCAAATACTTATAAAAAACGGGGTGCATGCGCCAAAAGAAACAAATATTTTTAAAGTGGTATAAAGTCATCTTCGAAAAAAGAATAAAATTAACTACTACTGAAAAAAGTTGTTTGAATAAAAGACGAGCTCGTGTAATAACAAATTCTTTAAAAACATAGTTCTTTACCGCGGTACGCGTATTCATTACATATTATAAGTTATTTTATTAAATAAATCCAAATGGAAAGTCAAGGAGACTCATGCGGAGAATTCAATTGCCACAAGTGCAACGAAAAGGATAACAGCCGTATGGTACAATGTGACCAGTGCGACAAGTGGTAATATTTCGCCTGTGTCGGGGTTAACAGCGGAATAGAAGACGAGAGCTGGCATTGCGCCAAATGCAATCCGCAAACTTCCACCGCAACTACAAGTGCTGCAGCTCCCCCGAACAAAGAACGCAGCGAAATGATACCAATACCTAGTTCACATTTCTTGCAATCAACATCATCACCTGCACAGGAAGCAGCGCCTTAAAATCCATGGAGCACCGATGGCGGTTACGCTGGGACAGCTACACATACGAGTGGTCCCAACCCATTGGTTACCACACCGCTGCACCTCCCGGCATCAGCTTCCGCAGCAAATTTGCCATTTTGCAAATTTTTGAAACAGTAGACCGCAACGTGCCAAATGCGAAAGAGTTAGAGCTACGTCTAGCCATGTTAGAAGAAGAGAGCCAGCTTAATCAAAGTTGTCTGGAGAAAAAATATGTTATTCTATCACATTCGCAAGGAACTTTGGCATCGAGTATTCATGGCACCGACATAAGGACTGCCCCAACACCTGCGCAAATAATTGAGAATTTGATCGAAAAGGTGAAAAGGGCTCCACCTATAAAAGAGAGGCTAGATAGCCTCCTAGACTATGCGCTCTGCGTGCGTAACGTATACTCCACAATGGAATCCTGCCGCATGGGGGCTTATATGAATAACCCTACTCTAGTGAAAGATTTGGTGGATAAGTTGCCAAACAACCACAAGCTTCCTTGGGCTATGCATCCGAAAGGACAACACGAGCCAATAGTAAAAATATTTAGTGACTTGCTCTATGCACTTGCTGAAGCGGCGTGTAAAGCAGTCGGATACACTACTCCGTAAAGAGGCGGGATTGTCAACACGCACATGCAAACATCCAATGCACAACGAGATGTCACCTGTAGTCACTATAAAGCTGGTAGACACCGAGTGACATAGTGCGAGGACTTTAGAAAGCTGAAATCAACTTGCACATGGGATGTTGGCCGTGCGTTAAAGTTATGTCGCCAATGCCTTAACGCTCACCGACGCAGATGCTTCGTAGCCGGGACCTGCGGAGTGGACGGTTGTAAAGACAAACATCACCCGCTCCTGCACGGAAGTACGGCCCTGAACTCACAAAACAGCCATGGCTACCCTAGCGCGACAGCCAGCGGAAGTGTTAACTCACACAATGACACCAGACGAAAGACTTCTCCCTACTTTCGCATCTTGCCAGTTCGTGTATATTGAAATGGAAACCATAATGATACATTTGCATTTTTAGACGAAGGTTCATCAGTAACCCTCATCGAAGAAAAAATCTTCAAGCAACTCAACCTGACAGGTGTTCCCGATCCATTATGCCTTCGCTTGACAGGTGACAATACTCGTAATGAAGACGCATCTGTGAGAACTTCTTTCATGATCAGTGGCATACAGCATAACAAAGCGTTTAATGGGCTATTTTTGCTTACGCGTAAAAACACATTTAGCGCATTTAGCTCTAAATGCTACCCTAAATGTACATTTATCCATACAAAATTCGTCACCTAAATGCAACTCCATTTTTGCATTAAAAATCTAAATACTGAAAGCAACCCTGTGATCTTCCAAAATTTCGACGATTCGAACATGGTTTAACGAGAAAAAGTGGCAACATTGCTTTTTCGCGTATACAGTGGCTAGCTGCCGATCGAGATTGCATTTATTATTTTGCATTATTTGGATAAACAAAAGTTACGCAAATTGAACATCTGTGATGCTGATAGAAATCTGGATCAATTTGTGATTAATTCTGTTCGTTTTGTTTCCAAATTACACGCATAGCACGGACAAATGAATATATACACAAACAAATTTTTAGTTATGGTTAATACAATTCAAGTTTTTGTATTGAATTTTTGGTTTAATTTTTTTTTTCCTTTTCAGTAGGGTTTTTTGTATATTATCTTTTCAGTGAGAATTGATCGTAATAGATACGGATCTTAACAAGCGACTGGAACACGGCTATTTGTCAAAAGCATACGATTTCGAGCTCGCGTAAATGTACATTTGCTAAATGCTATAGCATGAACGCTCTTCGAAAACAATGTTCGAAAGTGCTAAATGTTGCATTTTAAATTCAGCAAAACCGCTGCATAACATTACTGGGGTGCACACCGTGAGCCATCTCGGCCTGCCAAGGCAAACTGTTGACATGGCGAAAATTACCAAGGATTACCCATATATGACCGGCCTATCAATACAACCATACGTTAACGCGAAGCCGACATTGCTTATTGGCTCCGACAATTGGCAAGTGACCGTACCGCTTAAGATTCGAGAAGGCAGTTGGTGCCAACCGATAGCAACGAAGACTAGATTGGGTTGGGCTATACAAGGTCGTTGTGGCGGTTCATCGTTGAACGTGCGCCTAAACGTACATACATGCGCGTGCAAAGCCGAAAATGAAAGACTGCACGAAATGGTTAAGGAGCACTTCCATTTAGATGACCTCAAACCAACGATGCTGCGCTCACCATACTCGAATCGACGTGCAGAAAGGTCAACAACAGGTACGAGGTTGGGCTACTATGGCGACACGAGGAAATCAGCTGCTCAACTGCTGCTTTCGTAAGGATTCGTCACTGAAGCTAGCTATGCAGAAGCAGATCGGATACCTTTTAGCTAAGGGCTACGCAAAGAAGTTGAGCACAGCTGAGCTAGAAGCACATAAAAGACGCGTGTGGTATATGCCAATATTCGTGACTTGCAACCCAAATACATCTGGGAAAGTGCGCCTAGTCTGGGACGCTGCAGCTAAAAGTAAAGGCGTAGCGCTTAACCGCACCGTTCTAGGTGGACCCGACTTTTTGATTCCTTTAGTCGACATCTTATTGGGATTTCGCGTCGGAAAGGTTGCCATCTGCGCCGACATCGCCGAAATGTTCCACCAAATTAATGTAACTATTAACGATATGCACGTGCAAAGGTTTCTTTTGATGGACATGGAGGACGACATTAGCTGCGCTCCGTGCATCGCATACTATGTGCGCGACAAAATTGTGAACACTTTCGTTCAACGATTTCCGGAAGCAGTCGATGCTATAAAACGTTACCATTACGTTGACGACTTTATCTACAGTGAGGATAGCGAACAGGCTGTCATAGAGCTAGCTAAAACGGTGAAACATAAATAAAGACGTATTCAAATACGCGTTCAGGTTCACAAGACTAAGCGAAACGTTGTAGCAGGTGACACTACACCAACCAAGCGCGAGATCCCTCTATTATAGCTGCTAAATCAGAGGTAGCACCTCTGAACCCGGTATCAATCCCCCGCCTGGAACTTCAAGCAGCAGTACTGGGCGCGAGACTGGCTTCAAAGATACAAGGCATATCACGGCTACAAATAAAAAAGAAAATATTCTGGACGGATTCAATAACGGTACTGGAATGGCTCGGTATGGATCCCCGACAATTCCGCCCATTCGTAATATTACGAGTTGCTGACATCTTAGAACGAACGAACTTGAACCAATGGAAATCGATATAATCGCTTGACTTGGGATCAGTCGACAACAACGAAGTCAAAAATCACTTACTACATATTTGGAAGTTGGAACAGAAGAAACTCACCATCAACTTCGAGTATTTTTCAAACTGAAGAAGGCTGTATCGTGCGCTGGCTAGATTCATTCTTTATATAAAGAAAGTCAAAGCAAAGTCTCGATCACGGGAACTTCCCAACATGGTCACCTTTGAAATGGTTAAAGCAGCATAAACGGCACTAATAATTCAGGCGCAGCTTAGCGAGTGCGGAAACGATCTTCTTCTTCTTCTTGTTTGGCGCTATAACCGCCTAAGCGATTTTAGCCGAGTTCAGCAAAGCACGCCAGTCGTTTCTCCTCTGTGCCAACTGACGCCAATTGGAAAAGCCAAGTGAAGCCAAGCCCTTCTCCACCTGATCTTTCCATCGCAGTGGGGGCCTCCCTCTTCCTCTGCTACCACCAGCGGGTTCCGAGTTGAATACTTTCAGAGCTGGAGCGTCGGTGTCCATTCGAACGACATGACCAAGCCAGCGGAGCCGCTGTCTTTTAATTCGTTGCACTATGTCCATATCGTTGTAAAGCTCATACAGCTCATCGTTCCATCGTCTGCGGTACTCGCCGTCGCCAACGCGTAAAGGACCGTAAATCTTCCGCAAAATCTTTCTCTCAAACACCCCAAGAGCCGCCTCATCGGATGTTGTCATTGTCCATGCTTCTGCGCCATATACCAGCACGGGCATGATGAGTGACTTATAGAGCGTGGTTTTCGTACGTCGAGAGAGGACTTTACTCCTGAATTGCCTACTCAGTCCAAAGTAGCACTTGTTGGCAAGAGTGATTCTACGTTGGATTTCAATGCTGACATTATTATCGGTGTTAATGCTGGTTCCCAAGTAAACGAAATTCTCTACTTTCTCGAAATTGTAACTGTCAACAGTGACGTGGGTGCCAAGGCGCGAATGTGCTGACTGTTTGTTTGATGACAGGAGATACTTCGTCTTGTCCTCGTTTACCACCAGACCCATGCGCTTTGCTTCCCTATCCAACTTGGAAAAGGCAGAACAGACTTCGCGGTTTTTCTTACCGATGATGTCGATGTCGTCAGCATAAGCCAGCAATTGCACGCTCTTGTAGTAAATTGTTCCTGAGCGGTTCAGTTCTGCAGCTCTTATTATCTTCTCCAACATCAGATTAAAGAAGTCACATGAAAGGGAGTCTCCCTGTCTGAAACCCCGTTTTGTGGCGAACGGCTCGGAGAGGTCTTTTCCAATTCTGACGGAGCTGGTGGTATTGCTCAACGTCATTTTACACAGCCGTATGAGTTTTGAGGGGATGCCAAATTCAGACATAGCGGCGTATAGGCAACTCCTTTTAGTGCTGTCAAAAGCGGCTTTAAAGTCGACAAATAGGTGGTGAGTGTCGATCCTTTTCTCGCGGGTCTTTTCCAAGATTTGGCGTATTGTGAATACCTGGTCTATGGTGGATTTGCCAGGTCTAAAGCCACACTGATAAGGCCCAATCAGTTCATTGACGGTGGGCTTCAGTCTTTCACACAATACGCTCGATAAGACCTTGTAACCTATGCTTAGAAGGCTGATCCCGCGGTAGTTGGCGCGAATGGCGGGGTCACCTTTCTTGTGGATTGGGCAGAGCACACTTAAATTCCAGTCGTCGGGCATGCGTTCATCTGACCATATTCTGCACAAGAGTTGATGCATGCACCTTATCAACTCCTCGCCGCCGTACTTGAATAGCTCAGCTGGCAGGCTGTCAGCTCCAGCGGCTTTGTTGTTTTTCAGCCGCGTTATTGCTATACGTACCTCGTCATAGTCAGGCGGTGGAACGTCGACTCCGTCATCATCGACTGCGGGCTCGGGTTCTTCTTCTCCACAACTTTCCGTGCTGCTACCATTTAGTAGGGCGGAAAAGTGTTCCCTCCATAATTTAAGTACGCTCTGGACATCAGTTACTAGGTCGCCATTATTGTTTTTACAAGAGTACTCCCCGGTCTTTAAACCTTCTGTAAGTCGCCTAACTCTCTGGTAAAATTTTCGGGCATTCCTCCTGTCGGCCAGCATTTCAAGCTCTTCGCACTCACGTATTTCTGCCTCTCTCTTCTTGTTGCGGCAAATACGTCTCGCTTCCCTCTTCAGATCCCTACAGCGGTCCCACATAACACGCGTTGCGCCCGATCGAAGCGTGGCTCTGTAGGCGGCATCTTTTTTCTCTGCAGCTTCCTGACACTCCTCATCGTACCAGTTGTTCTTTCGGGCTCGCTGAAATCCGACTACTTCTTCGGCGGCGGTACTTAATGAGCGGGAAATGTGGTTCCACTGCTCGCATATGTCGGTTTGTTGAAGAGTGCTCTCTGAGAGCAGGTGTGAGAGTCGAGTAGCGAAAGCGCTGGCTGTCTGTTGTGATTGCAGCTTTTCGACGTTAAGCTTTCCTTGCATATTTCGTCGCACATTTTTTTCTGCACAGAGGCAGGTGCGTATCTTGGCTGCAAGAAGATAGTGCTTCGAGTCGATGTTTGGGCCTCGGAGTGTGCATACGTCTAAAACACTGAAAGCGTGCCTTCCGTCTATCACAACATGATCGATTTGGTTTCTCGTTTTTCGATCCGGAGACAGCCAGGTAGCTTGATGGATCTTTTTATGCTTGAACCTAGTACTGCATACTACCATGTTTCGGGCCCCGGCGAAGTCGATCAGCCTCAATCCGTTGTCGGACGTTTCGTCGTGGAGGCTGAAGTTTCCGACGGTGGTTCTAAAGATCCCTTCCTTGCCCACCCTGGCATTGAAGTCGCCAAGCACGATTTTGACATCATGACGGGGGCAGTGCTCGTACGTGCGCTCCAAGCGCTCATAGAAGAGATCCTTGGATGCCTCATCCTTCTCTTCCGTCGGGGCATGGGCGCAGATGAGCGAGATGTTGAAGAATCTCGCTTTGATGCGGATTGTGGCTAGACGCTCGTCCACCGGGGTGAACGACAGTACTCGGCGACGGAGTCTCTCTCCCACCACAAATCCAACTCCGAATTTGCGCTCCTTTACATGGCAGCTGTAGTAGACGTCGCAAGGCCCCAGACATTGTTTGCCTTGCCCCTTCCAACGCATTTCTTGGATGGCGGTGATGTCAGCTTTTGTCCTTACGAGGACATCAACCAGCCGGGCAGAGGCACCTTCCCCATTAAGGGTCCGGACATTCCAGGTGCATGCCCTCAAATCGTAGTCCTTTAAACGTTTGCCGTGGTCGTCATCATAAGGGGGGGTCTCATCCGAGGCTTTGCCTTGCTTCTTCACTGGAAGTGGTTTTTACGTGGCGGGTCCCAAGCCCAGCGCACAACCCATTGCTGGGACGGGGGTGGTTTCGCAACCAAATACACGTTTATATAGCGAGCCGCTTGCTCCAAGCAGACACCCGCTTGCAGCCGCACCTACTGGTGAACAGACGCTGCAGACTTCAGTGAGCCCTTAAACCGAATAAGTCAGAGTGGCCCCACCGAAGCTCCCTCTCTTTCTGCCGTGACCCAAGGCTCCACTCGGATTGGTTACCGCATCTCGCACATGGGTTGCTCACGTTGCCCAGAGTGCGCGAACGAGGACGCAAGAGTCGGGATTGAGTATAGCCATGCAACTGTAACTGCATACCCAGCGCAACGACTATACCCCATTGCACTCCAGGACGAAAGAGTCGGAATTTAGTATAGCCAACGATCTACTTAGCCTAAAAAGCGGTGAGAGTCTTGAAAAAAGCAGTAAATTAAAAGCGCTTGATGTATTTGTAAATGAGTTTGATGTCATACGTGTTCGAGGTCGGGCCGAATTCCTCGCAGCTCGCAATGCTTTGGATCTGCCGGGTAAACACCACGTCACCTACCTTATAGCTAAAGACGCCCACGAAAGGTATCAACACATATCACACGAAACTGCAACAAATGAAATAAGAAGGGGATTCCATATACCGCGGCTCCGCTTCCTGTGTTGTATGGTACGTCGAATGTGTCAAACTTGCAAAAATAAATTTGCGACACCTCGTCCTCCACAAATGCCGCTAGACTTGCAAGCTTCGAACGACCGTTTAGTTATGTTGGGATCGGCTATTTTGGCCCAATACTCGTCGTTGTTGGCAGACATCGAGAAAAACGTTGGGGCGTAATCTTCACGTGCCTCACGGTTAATGCATAATAATAATAATAATATACCCCGATAACGATACGAACTTCGAAGCGACCAGCAATATCTTGCGTATCGAAGCAAAGCAAGTAGACTACGCAACTATCCAGACAAAATTTTACAATATCAAGAGTAACTTCAACCCACCGGCGGCGCCTCATATGGGCGGGGCGTGGGAACGACTTATAAGGTCGGTCAAGACCGTGTTAAATGAAATGCATCCCGAGAACAACTTTAACGATGAAACCCTTCGTAGCGCTCTCTAAGAAGTTTAGTTCATGATAAATTCAAGACCACTTACTTTCGCTACCATAGACGGGTGCGACGAAGAAGCACTCACGCCGAACCACATTTTATCGGGCTCGTCCTCCGGCTACAAACCAATCTGAAGCGGCGGAGACCCAACGCTATCGTCAAACGCAAATGTATGTGGATAGGTTCTGGCAGAGATGGGTGCAAGAGTATCCGCCAATCCTAACGCGGAGAGCCAAGTGGTTCGAGAAGCAACCCCTTTTAAAGGTTGACGACGTAGTGGTAATTGTCGACGAGTCTATGGCAAGGAGCTATTGGCCGAAAGGCATCATAGTAGACGTCGTTACAGCAAAGGATGGCCAGGTGAGGAGGCAACCGTGAAAACAGCACGCGGAATTCTGGATCGACCTTCCATAAAGCTAGCTGTG